AAAGTATTTTGTCTTGGGCTACCTGTGTCAAGCCAGACACAGGTAGCCCAAGACAGACACAGGTAGCCCAAGACAAAATACTTTCGCGTCAAAAAAAAATCTAAGAGAATTTCCAAAAAGTGAAAAAAATTAAATTTTTTCAGTCTCGAGAAAATCACCCTGTCAAATTTTCGTGAAAAAAATTAAGGTAAGTAAACATGAGTTTTTTAAAAGCGGGAAATTGTTAATTTTTTTCCCGTCTGACTTTCTTCATTTTCATGCTTTTTAGAAGACATGGTGTTTTTAAAACTTATTTTACTTGTGCGTTTCTTTCAATTTTCAGGTACTTTTGAACGCAATAATTTTTATTGTGTTTTTTTATTTCAAATGTTTTTTCAATTTACAGTCTTTCGGAAAAGGCCGAGAAGTCTTTTAACTGTTTTAAACATTCCAAATCACACCGAAATTTTTCAGACTGATTTTGTTTCATTGCCAGGAGTTGAAACGTTTGTCCTCGGATTGAGAGACGAACGTCTTAACCACAAGACCACCGCGTCATTAGTCGAAAACTATTGTTCTCTATTTGACCTAATCTTTTTCGATGAATTTTAAATTAAATAGTAATTTCAGTTGGAAAAATCGAACATTTCCCATGCAGGTTTCGAACCCACCCTTACAACCTGGTAGGCCGTAGCCTTAACCACTGGGCCATCGGATTTATGTTGATGGCAGCCTTAATATATATATGTTATTTCGGTGGCCCAGTGGTTAAGGTTACGGCCTACCAGGTTGTAAGCGTTGGTTCGAATCCTGCATGGGAAAGGTTCGATTTTTCCACCAAAATTACTACTTAATTTAAAATTCATCGAAAAGGATTAGGTCAAATAAAGAACAATAGCTTTCGAGAAATGATGCGGTGGTCTAGTGGTTAAGACCTTCGTCTCTCAATCCGAGGACAAACGGTTCAACTCCTGGCAGTGAAACAAAATTAGCCTGAAAATTTTCGGTGTGATTTGGAATGTTTAAAACAGTTAAAGGACTTCTCGGCCTTTCCGAAAGACTGTAAATTGAAAAAAATTTGAAATAAAAAAACACAATAAAAATTATTGCGTTCAAAAGTACCTGAAAATTGAAAGAAACGCACAAGTAAAATAAGTTTTAAAAACATATGTCTTCTAAAAAGCCTGAAAATGAAGAAAGTCAGACGAAAAAAAAATTAACAATTTCCCGCTTTTAAAAAACTCATGTTTACTTAACTTAATTTTTTTCACGAAAATTTGACAGGGTGATTTTCTCGAGACTGAAAAAATTTAATTTTTTTCACTTTTTGGAAATTCTCTTAGATTTTTTTTTTGACACGAAAGTATTTTGTCTTGGGCTAACTGTGTCAAGCCAGACACAGGTAGCCCAAGACAGACACAGGTAGCCCAAGACAAAATACTTTCGCGTCAAAAAAAAAATCTAAGAGAATTTCAAAAAAGTGAAAAAAATTAAATTTTTTCAGTCTCGAGAAAATCACCCTGTCAAATTTTCGTGAAAAAAAATTAAGTTAAGTAAACATGAGTTTTTTAAAAGCGGGAAATTGTTAATTTTTTTCCGTCTGACTTTCTTCATTTTCAGGCTTTTTAGAAGACATATGTTTTTAAAACTTATTTTACTTGTACGTTTCTTTCAATTTTCAGGTACTTTTGAACGCAATAATTTTTATTGTGTTTTTTTATTTCAAATTTTTTTCAATTTACAGTCTTTCGGAAAGGCCAGAAGTATCTTTTAACTGTTTTAAACATTCCAAATCACACCGAAATTTTCGGGCTAATTTTGTTTCATTGCCAGGAGTTGAACCGTTTGTCCTCAGAGTGAGAGACGAACGTCTTAACCACAAGACCACCGCATCATTTGTCGAAAGCTACTGTTCTTTATTTGACCTAATCCTTTTCGAAGAATTTTAAATTAAATAGTAATTTCGGTGGATAAAATCGAACCTTTCCCATGCAGGATTCGAACCTAGGCGTACAAGCTGATAGGCCGCAGCCTTGACCACTGGGCCACCGGATCGTATGTTGATACCAATCTTACAACATCACATATATATTGTTATACAAAAACCTGCAGCGCCTCTTTTAAGGTTGCAAGAAAGCACAGAGACAAAAAAGATGACTCCGAGAGTAGAAAGTTCAGTATATATACTAGCCTCCTCCGCAGGCATCTCTTATGTATTTATATTAGGCATTCATATTTGGCCTGGGTTAGCTGTGTCGGGGAAGTCAAGCATTTTTTTTTCGATTTACTCTCCGACACAGCTAACCTAGGCCAAATATAAATGCCTAATATAAATACATAAGAGATGCCTGCGGAGGAGGCTATATATATACCACATTGCTAAATGTGAACGGGTAATAATCCCACAATCATAGGGAAGGGATTGTTAATACTTAACTATGAAAAATTGACGAAAAGTAAAAAAAGTGAAAAGGTTCCCAAGACTTCAAGAAACACTGTAAGTTGAAAAAAATTGAACTTAAAAAAAAACAGGAAAAGATTTTGAAAATTCTTGGCTTCAAAAGAAATATAAAAATGGAAAAAAAAATCACAAGTCAAAGAAAAATTTAAAAATTTCCCGCTTTCAAAAACTCACCTTCACTTACAATGGTATTTTTTTTTCAATTTTATACGATAATTTGACAGACTGATTTTCTCGAGATCGAAAAAATTTACATTCCTTCAGTTATGAAATTTTCTTAAATTTTTTTGGGGGAGATAAATGAAATTTATTTGTCTTGAGCTACCGTTTCGCGACACAGTTAGCTTTTAGGTTCTAGGACAGTATTTGATTCCAAAGTTTACCTTTCAGACAGCAGAGACTGTTTCGGGCTGTCGTTTTATATATAACTGCACATTGGGTGGTTTCAATGTCAATATCTGCACAATGGCAAGGTCTGATTTCAATTCAAGAACCAATTGATTAAGGGTAAAAAGAACAGTGAATTGTGCTTATGGTATTTTCAAATTATATACTATCACAATGTTTATGTGCCATTATTACCTTCAAATTATGTCGACGAAAATCAAGGTCCTAGGACATACCTTCATGGTAACTACTATTCAGCAATACACGTTTATATCAATGAATGATGAATGATGGCATTCAATGTTGATTGATTGTCGGACTGATTACCACAGTGATAAGATATTGTAAATGAAACTTGCAAACAAGCCAGGCAGTGATTATTTAAAAATTTGTACGCTAGTATAATCTGATTGTCTTTAAAATTGCTCGACCACAGCAGTGGACAAATGAATGATTGAAATGACAAATATTGAAATTAATAATGCAACGTTGACTTTACCTTGACTTTTATATAGAAATTTGCCAAGACTCAAAGCACTCCTTCGAATGAAATTTTTTGTGTTCAAATGTTTTCGTTTCATGAAAGAATGCAATTCTAGTTAGTTCTTAACCATTTCGAAGTATTTTGAACTGAATTTTGAAATTTCAAAAAATTGACGAAAATCAAGATTTTTCTTTTGTCCCCCGTTACCGATCTCCCTAAAATTTTGAAATTCACCAAAGTATGATTTTTTGTGTTTAAATGTTTTTGTTTCATTAAAGAATGCAATTCTACTTCGTTCTCAACCATTTCGAGGTATTTTGAACCGAATTTTCAAATTTCAAAAAAATTGACGAAAATCAGGACTTTTCCTTTGGTCCCCGTTACCGATTTGCCTAAAATTTTGAAGTTCATCAAGGTATGATATTTTGCGTTCAAATGTTTTTGTTTCATAAAAGAACACAATTCTACTTAGTTCTCAACCATTTCGAGGTATTTTGAGCGGAATTTTAAAATTTCAAAAAATTGACGAACTAAATCAGGATTTTTCCTTTGCTCCCCCGTTACCGATTTGCCTAAAATTTTGAAGTTCATCAAGGTATGATTTTTTGTGTTCAAATGCTTTTGTTTCATTAAAGAATGCAATTCTACTTAGTTCTCAACCATTTCGAGGTATTTTGAACCGAATTTTGAAATTAAAAAAATTGACGAAAATCAGGATTTTTCCTTTGGTCCCCCGTTACCTACAGTATTTCCTAAACTTTTTATATTTACCAAGGTATGATATTTTGTGTTCAAATGTTTTTGTTTCATGAAAGAATGCAATTCTACTTAGTTCTCAACCATTTCGAGGTATTTTGAAGCGAACTTAGAAATTTTAAAAAATTGTCGAAAATCAGGATTTTTCCTTTGGTCCCTCGTTACCGAATTCCTAAAATTTTGAAATTCATCAAGGTATGATTTTTTGCGATCAAATGTTTTTGTTTCATAAAAGAACACAATTCTACTTAGTTTTCAACCATTTTGAGGTATTTTGAACCGAATTTTGAAATTTCAAAAAATTGACGAAAATCAGGATTTTTCTTTGGTCCCCGTTACCGATCTGCCTAAAATTTTGAAATTCACCAAAGTATGATTTTTTGTGTTTAAATTTTTTTTGTTTCATGAAAGAATGCAATTCTACTTCGTTCTCAACCATTTCGAGGTATTTTTAAAAGAATTTTGAAATTTCAAAAAATTGACGAAAATCAGGATTCTTCGTTTGGTCCCCCGTTACCGATTTGCCTAAAATTTTCAAATTTATTAAGGTATGATGTTTTATGTTCAAATGTTTTTGTTTCATGAAAGAATGCAATTCTACTTAGTTCTCAACCATTTCGAGGTATTTTGAACAGAATTTTGAAATTTCAAAAAATTGACAAACTGAATGAGGATTTCTCCTTTGGTCCCCGGTTACTGATTTCCTAAAATTTTGAAATTTATCAAAGTATGATATTCAAATGTTGTCGGTCCTGCCATACTAATATTTTGCCGTTCATTGGCTGGGGAAGCAATAACTATAATATTAAAAGGTGTTAAAAATCTATGATTTCATTAAGTTGAAATGTGAAATATTTGCTGGCTCCACTGACTTAAGCCATGGACCATTGTGTTCAAATTTAAACCAGTTTTCCACCGAAGTGTTTTTCGTGCTCGTGTCTGCGACAGCAAAGTCAAATAATGGGAAATGTTATTAATTGAATAACTAATAGAATAAAACGTCAGAACTTTTTGTATTATTTGATAAGTAATTATGATTTCCGCGATGTTTTAGTATAGAAGCATTTTAAACGATATAAAAGATAAAAGCACTTTAAAATATGTAATGCAAAGTTATTTTTTTAAAAAATGTTAAAGGAGTTACATAGCGAACATTCCACACAACGAAACCAACATCAATAACAAATTGAAAGATATTTCCATTCCATGATTTTGATCATTGCAGGAAACTGTTAGAAAAAGAAATATCATTACCAATTTACATAAAAACACGCAGGAGAAAAGCAAGATGTAAACCTGGTAACCTTGCCCAGGCCCCATGAGTAGAATGAAGACCAATGCAAGATATTGATTAATTGGTGCATGGTTCGTTTCTCAACACTATAATATACCGCCCATGTTAATACGACGTTTAAACTTCCTTTGCATGTAGACTATGTATGAACCATGCATGAAAAATGATTCCCCTGCTTATATAATTATTATGTTTCATTGCAACATTTATTGAAAGGTGAATTATGTCACAACATACCAACTTCACTTAAGTCAAGAACAGTTTTAATAACAGCATTTATTGATCTTTGTAAGAACTGAAGGTCATCTTCCTTAACATGACTGAGATCATCACATTCCCGATGATAACAATACTGCATGTAACCTCTAAAGTTTGCTGTGTCACCCAACATTAAGGCGCTGTACGATGCTTTACTTTCCCAAAACGCGAAGTGGTCACTGCGATACAAATCTGAGTAGTGTCTGTAGTTCAAGGTTAATGATGGGCGTCCGTTGATCGGACAAATTACTGGCTGCACACGGTAATCGGAATCTATAAAATACACGATACCATTATTACAAATCTCAATAATGAGTATACTAATTTTAATACCCTCTATTGGTTGGAGTTGCAGCTTCAGTATTCCGTAAGCCCGCAGGTCCTGCTCTACACTGGGAAATTTTCCGTTTTTAAATCATCAATACTTAGTTCATGATCAAAACACAGATGTTTTTGTTCCGGAAACAAGACTGTCAAAATAATCTGCAACATGCTAAATTCTATACATGCATTTACACTTCGAGACTAGCTATCTCTTCAACATTCTCTCTACCACAAGCGACATTCCGTTGGAAAATTCATGTACCGTTGGAAAAGTATTTTGGAATCAAAGAAAGAAGTTTCTTATCGGATTCCCTGCGTCCAATTACAACCAGAAAATTTCCTCGGAATTCATCATTTTTCACTTCATTATACGCCTTTGGTAAAAGATACTCAAAACCAAATGGCAAACTCTGGGAACCTAGAGCACAGGGCGAAAGCAAAATTAGTTGGTTACAAAAAAACTTAGGCAGATTGCAATAAAGGTCAATTCTATTTTTTTTGCATTTCTCAAAAATTACAAAATTGTTTTCTTTGTCAGTTCAGGAGTGATTTTAATTCCGCCTCGGACCTGACCGCATTTCAAAATTTAAACCCTCTTTTAGTTTACTGCAGTGACAATTTTTATCAGGGAGGCCTCATGCATGAGCAAACAATTGTATATACCTGCTGAAGAATTATGATTAAGCATTGTTTCCAATACAATTGCCCCAGCCATTGTTCCTCCTGTTTTTTTAAGGTAGCTAGTCATGTTTCGTACAAAACTAATACTACCACAGTCAAAACCGAATGTCCAGTCCGTTATGTTGCACTCTTTTGTCCGTTCTTCAAAATCAAATGCAACAAAGAAAATAGTGTTCTTCACCTGACATCTTGCTTTTCCTACAGATGATTTGAAATGAAAGAAAGCGTTCGTCATAAATACACGAGGGATCCCTGGGGTGCGTAAACACATTGGATCAAATTTTGTTGGGAAATCATAGGAAACGCAATAATAATTGATAATTTATTCCAACGACTTATAATTTAACGGCTAGTTACCTTACCTATAATTTTCGCTACTTCAAGTAATGCAGTGACACCAGAACCATTATCATCAACACCATTAGTATTCTTTGCAGTGTCATAATGTGCGCCCACAACCACAATCTTATCATCAGCGGTTCCTGTTCGTGTTGATCTAATCATGCCAATTATGTTTTCATTCAATAAAGACTACATCAGAAAAAAGATGATACATCAGAAAAAAGATGATACACCAATATGAAACATGACCTTTCGAAATAACTGCATAAAAACTTATTTCCACTCGTGTAGCTATATATATATACGAATCCCGACAGTATACAAGCGAAAAGTCAGCGGGGTAACGCAACCGTTTTGACCCACCCCGTCAATCATTCACTTGTCTCTCCCACCCTTTTGATAATAAGATAAATTTAATATAAGTATCTACCTAATATGAACGAGTTTTGTGATTGGCTTTTGGTAACAATAGTGAACAATGTTTACGATTCGTTCTTTTAAATATCAATTTCTTTAGTTCATTGTGTTTTCTTGTTATCATCAACCAATAGCAAAGCTTGTTCATATAGGTACATACCGAGCCTAAATTTACGTCCTATACGCCCACCTAAATGCAATATCCACTTGCAATGTTGGTACAGAATAAGCTTTATTACATTATCGATTATCGAGATTATAGCTTCAAATAATCCACGTAACAAATAGTGCATATTTGTTTGTGTTTTACTTTTACTTTTGACCAGTAAGCAACAGGTGACTGTCTATTTGTCTGTTTTCCGCACACATGCCGGTTAAACCTGGTTCCTATTTAATCAAAATTGTCGTGAACGAGTCATTTTCACCGATGAGAAATAGTCCGGTTGTAAAATTGCCTGTATTTCTGTATTCAAACCGGTCATTGTTGACTGCATAAAAATACAAATATACCGTCACATCAGCCAGCTTAAAGCCGGCCTTCACTTGCACGTATTGTCAGTGCGGTCGATTTGGCGGATGCTCAGTGAATCGAAACTGGTCGCTAGTTGACAGTAGAATTGTAGTCTACTTTCAAGGTGGCCATGAATGCACAAGTCGTACATGCGATTTTGCGTACGTACGTGCAAGTGGAGGCTGGCCTTTAACATGTTAACGACACTTGATGCATGGTAACCAGGCATTACGCCCCTGAGAAAAGTGTGCAGAAAAAACGGAACAAAAAGTGAACTACTTACTCCTCCTATCATTTCTCGCTCACTCCAGACTTGTAAACCATATTCTTTAAACGATTTTGTGATGTAGTTTCGTGCATCTTTTTTCCCATCGGCTCCGGTGATGTGATTACGTTTACCATTAAAATTCTTCAATATGGACAACAAGGCCTCGGTGGAGTCACTTTGTATGTCAGGCAGTTCGTCACATAAAACATCGTGTGTGCCTGATGCGTGAAAATAAAACATTTGAAAAGGTAAAAAAAAAACACCAGTTACGAATTAAGGCCCCTTCCACACGTATCTCCCGTCAAAACGGAGGTCTTTTTATCCGTTTTGGCCTTGCGCCCACACCTATAGCCGGCGTTTTCAGCAACCGAAAACGGATGTTTTCAAAAACGCACTCCAGAGTGTTTTGAAAACGCAGGTTTCGTGTTTACATGTGGATGGGCGAAAACGAAAGTTTTCGAATTCGATGACGTTTATAATCGGATCCAGTCGATAACGGGCCATTAACGGCGCGTGTTTTGTATCTCTTCAAGATGGTGAACTAAAATTGCTTGGCTGTTTTACTTTTGCTTATTTCATAATTTCAAGTCTAATAGCATGCATTCAGCTTGATGTAACTATGCTAAACTTCCACGGAGAGTGTTTAAAAAAGCGAATGAATATGATGAAGTTGCTTCCCGTCTCACCAGCTAGACCACGAAGATTTGGTCAATTAGTCATTTTAATTTAAGAAAGAGCGAGCATAAAGCGAACCAAATACGAAGCAAATACGCGGAATTGTTTTTAAATTCCGCCAAATCAGCATAGTTTTTATCTGCGATCGTTTGGAAGCGCTCATATTACTTGGAAATGCGCATACTCCATGCATGGCGCTATCAGATTTCCTTAGTTTTAGCATTTACGTGTGGAGTGTGGACGGGGAAAAGTTAAACGATTCGAATACGCTTCGTGTGGACGTTTTTTAAAAACGGAGAAAAAATCCTCGTGTGGACAGGGTCTAAGTTTTGGCCTCAAAGATTCCGGTTATTCGCCAACTTGTGGCTGCATGTTTTTATTCTATTATCAGTGCGTTCCAGCTAGTCTTGCTCAAAAATCCCAATACACACTTTATGTCAGACGGAGCAGAATTAATATACATACATGCCATACAAGCCCATAACTGGCGGAATGAACTTCGTTTCTGGGAAATACATTGTTCATGATTGTTGAAGGTATAATATCCGCGCTATTAAACTCAAAAGCATACTAAATTCATAATAATACTTCATATCTTTAAAGCCTGTTTTAAAACGTTGTGCTTCTCATGCGCTGAACGCATTAAAGACAATAGATAATCAGTTGAGGATGGTTCTCATATAGAATATAAAAACTACAATTATTTGTTATTGTCTGTGCAATCGCAATGCTTATATGTTTTCGTTTATTATGATTTATGTTTGAACAAAATACTTGACAAGGAAGTATATTTTTGGTAAATTTGTTCGCAAGTCGCAGTGCTTCGCTCAGTTCGCTGGCATTTCCACACAAAGTCAAAACTCTGTTCGATAAAAAGAAGGCATCAGTCACCGTTCATTTTGTTAGAATGCTAGAATTGTTGTTTGATGTCGCCAATATCGGACCGTTCGTGGCCTTCATGAAACGATTTACATTTCAGATGAAAGCTTAAGGCTGTGACACAAATTAAACCAGACATGTCCTACTATCGCCGATAAATTTTGTTTTTTCCTCTTATTTACAAGTTTTAAAACCCATTACTACCATTCAAACCGCCAACAACCAACTCAAACGTGTTCGGGCCACTTGTCTAAAGCAAACAGCTTCAAATCATCTATCAGCATCCAGAACACAATGATATTACAGCCAACATATACGGCTACAAAATTTACAATGTATAATACTTACTGAATACTAAAAGCACGAGAAAGAGCGCACTGCAAACGGCGGAGCAAATTGACATGGTGTTTCAGTAATTCAGTTCAGGAAACCACGGTTAATAGGAAACTGACAAGGCGCACGCTTTAGTGGACTGAGTGTTCTTTACGACACAACTGAGTAATCTGAGCCTATTTTGTGAATAAATTATTCGAAACATTATAGTCTTATATAATCCCATCACTCTATTCAGATTAATCACACTAGACCGTGTATGTGGTCTTTCATTTGTTTTCAATAGCGAGTGTGGTTTGACAATAACATTCTTTCCCGAGACACTTCTCCAAAAGAGCGATTATAATCTACAATATAAAAGAGCTATTTATGTCGGGTAACTCGGATTGAAAGTGTGAAAGTCTATATAGTGGTCTATTTAAGGCCCCGTTTATACATGGTACCAGATCCGCTAACCTGAACGCAAGGGTTGAATGTAAAAAACAGTAGTTAAAGGGATATGGCAATAAAAATATTTCTGTTTTGTTGAAAAGGAAAATTACACATAGAGCCTTTTTACAAAATTTGTTTATTTTCCTTTATATTGGCGATCAAAAACATCGGACATCGAAATGTATCCGCCATTACGACGTGACGTCAAAAGCAGGGTTGACGCTTAAAAAACTACATGTTACGCTTTAGTTTAGAACTCTAACAATTTAAAAGCTATAATTTGAGGTACGTGCGATTGTAATTGTCTTGATTTAGTGGATCCACCATCCAGAAACATACACAGCTTGTGACTCACTCTCTTTTTCTGCTATAATAGTCAGAGTTTTTAGATCAGAAACAAAGCTCGTTTGCAAGGTCTGCCGTCTGTCACTATTATTTCACCAGAGATATGATTTCCTACATCCAGTACGAATACACTTGTCTCTGTCGACGTCAAATCTCACGGAGACAGCCACAGCCTGTGTCTTTTGGTTACCATATAGAGTGCACATAGCAGCATCATGCTGAGTGGAAATGAAAGTACCCCAACTGTGCTAATTGAGCTCTCATACAGCGCTAGAATTTTTTCTTATTTGAAGAGTTCTACGACTATTTTTGAGGATTCTAGTAACAAATGTCCGTTTCATTTATAACAAAGAAGCATGCATGCAATATGTTATAAGTATGCTTGAGCCAATATTTTCAACCAAGGGGATTCGCAAAACAACAGATGATCAAAAGTAACATCGGTAACAAGCTTAGAGTTATCACAAAGCTTACCACAAAGCATATTACGATCACTAAACCTTTCATTGCTATACATATATGTTCTATTTATATAGACGAGGTTACTTACATAGTTTGGGTTCAGTTAAAAAAGAATAAGCAAGGCCAAAACATAGCCTTCAATTCATGACAATAAATGCATAAAATAATCCAGCATTTCAGTAAAAATACACTTCATGACTTCATCGATATGAACCTATTTAAAGTGGCTAAAGTCTAAATTACTCATTCACATTTCGTGTAAACACAGGCATACCATAAACTACAGGCGCCCCACCATTAACATACTTCATATCACAAACATTACGAGATTGTACAATACACTGTGTAAGTGACAATTTATGAGATTTCTTAAACCATAAGCGCAGTACATTTTCGGTGAATTTGTTAATATCTACATCTGTGACGTCCCAAAGATTTCCAACCACGGCTGGACTATAAGTAATGAAAGAAATACCTTCAAAATATATCAAATAATCATTGAAAACTGCATATAACGAGAAAATCACATCGATATGAGTACACGAGTTCACCCGGGTTTCCAGTTGGTTAGAATTGAAGTATATGTGATTGCAACCTTATAAATAATTCATAAGCGATTGCAATTTTTCTCTGATCGAATGCAGGTCAAATTTTAAAAATGGTAACATTCCGTTATCTTATTACTCTAAAACATTACTCTATATATTGTACCCGGACGGATATCGTACCCACCTTCCAGACATTAAGTAATTGAGAGCCATTCCTCTTGCATCACACTGACCCTTGACCTGAAAAATGTTGGTTATCATATCTCACAACCAAGACTTAATATAGACATATTTTAATTAAATATCGATATATTTGTCTTTTCTTACGATTAGTTTTCCACTACTGCAGCCCATGATTAAAGCAACAGCTTCACAGTACAATCTTGTAATTTCATCACCGTTAAGGAATTCCCGACCGTTGCCATGGCCAACATATCTGGATAAAGTAAATGATGAATTGAAAAAAATTCGAAAACTTCATTATTCACCGGAGAATTGCCCCAAAAGTATATGTATGTATCTTTCATAAATAGATTTTAAAATATGTCACTGATATATTAATAATATGTCAAATGATAATATGTCAAAATATCCATATACAGCTAGGTTATTCTTGTATAATAAAACTTAAAATAGCGGAATTAATAGTCTTATAGCTATAAAGGACAATAGTGAAACACGAACATGATTACTTACATGAAGAACTGATTTTTTGCCAGACCTTCTTTGAACTCCTCACTGGAAGGTGCACGTCCAACTACTCCTTTCCATCCCTTCTCACTAAAACAACCACTTTTGTCAGCTAAATCACATGCTGCTGCTGCATGCAAAATTTAAAAAAGGCCACATGATATTGCGTACATTCCTCGCTTTGTTAGCCATCTTGCAGAATTCCTTAGTCTTGGACGAGTAGCATATATTTTGCGTATTTTAAGTATCTCAATATAGCGAAATCAAAATTAAAACACTTACGATAAAAACCATCGAGAAAACCATTTCTCGGCATTTGGAAGGTTATCTTGTGGATTCAAAAGATAAAACGTTTTTTTTGTATCCACTCCTGAAATCTGCATGTGAGATATACAAAAACATAAGTTGAGGTCCGGTTTAAGACTAAAACAGTTGTTTATAACGGCCCTGCATTCTATAGCATTTCAGTAATAAATTTATCAACTTGATGAAGGCTTTAAGGCTTAATAAATTTATCAACCACGTGTCAGGAACATTGCAAACGAGAGGAATGAACTATGCAACTGACCTCAGCGTACTAACAGGTACTCCAGAAGTATGTGTGGCTAGTTTATTATATTGCGGTCAGTGACATGCGCTCGCTAAACGGTTGTTTCAAACTCGAAGGCTTGATAATTGTATTTGAGACGGTCTTATCTTAACAATATTCTATTCACCCCCCGTGATGCCTCCCAGATATTCTGACTTATTATCGCAAGGTGCATCATATATCATAAAACTAAATAATAAACCCACCATCGTTCTTTGCATACTCAAATGAGCATTTATAAATTGAAGCGAGGGCATTCTTGAGACTTCTTGTTCACGAAGTATCGGCATGGACTCAAATGGGAGATGTTGTATGGCCTGAAACACGAAATGACCAATTCAGCGGTCGAAGTGGCAGAAAATTAGAGATAGACGGTTATATCATTCAACTGGCTAAATTATACACAATGAAAACGTCTTGCCCTCTCGACCCAAGAGCCGATGAGAGCAGGGCCCGGGGCAAAATGCCCCCTCTGCCCCCCCCCCTCCTCTCGGCGGCCCTGATAATGAGCGGCGTATTTAGGAAGTTGCTGATCCCATTTCATTATTCACCAGAAGAAGTTATCACAGAAGAAGTTCTCTGGTCTCCCACCTTACCTTATCTAAGACCAAAACAATTGGACCTCTTCTCAAACTTGATGCATTGTCATCTCTGAAATAAAAACACCAATGTTATGAAATTTCAATTATTTAGCAATCACTGCAAATGCATTTGAAAGTGGTTGAAATGAGTGTTCCAACAGAACAGTGTTGAATGGTCTTGCTTTTTCAACTTAAGCCAAGTTGAAAAGAGCTTTTCCTGTAGCAATGTCAAATGACCAAGGTTAGAGAAAGGAATGGATAAAAATGCCTATCCCAGCATTCCAATTATCACAATTTGCAAAGCTTCTCATTCTCTTGGTACACTTACACATTACTTGCACGGAAGGGCTGAAGCCGGAATTTTTACACATTATTCAATTTTGATAGCCATTGAAATAAAATTGTGATATATATGTACCTTTCATGATCGTCGAGAAATTTAGCTAACGCCTTAGAGAACTAAAAAATAATGAAATCACATAAATGACTAACACTGACTTTTTCCTATTAAACTTGTTTACACGGTTATTATTGAAGTTAAGTTCACAGCAACCAGGTATATAATCCATCGCTATTCTTTGGGGTTTTAAACATTGCGGAAGTGAATTCCATATATCATTCGAGTAAGCCATAAAATTTATACAAAATATACTGATCACGATGGACTCACCTTAAAAAGTTGTTCACAATTTTCTTTGAATCCAGTTAGATCTGCTAATGCTTTCATCACCTGATTTGCTTGAAGATGGCAGAAACTGTCTGTAAGCACCTGAAAATATAAAACTTTCATACGTAAAACTTTACAAGAGCATGGTGCTTTTCCCCTTTTTTATAAACCTGACCACAGAACGTCTATATTTTCCAATATGTTTCAAACACAAACAGAAATGAAGACAGCATTGAAATACCTCCAGTAACTGTTCATTCTGTATTCGTCTTCCCAAAATTTTAATTGCCATTTGTTGGATCTTCTCTACGTAAGATTGTAGCCTAGAACAGTCCATTTCGTTCAGACGTCGCCCATTGAGAATACCACGCCATCTTCCAAACCAAACCTCTTCCATTCTCTGTACAAACCTCTGGATAAATACAGGAAGAAAATAAAACGACAATTGAGGTAACGGGCAGACCATGCATGGGTTAGCAACGGCCTTCCACCAGCATGCAGTATATGATTTTTGTTTTTTTGGTAACAACAATAGCAAGGAATAAATTTTCCTATATTCACCTTATATTGACGCAATATTTCAAGATATAGCACTTGGTAAACATTTTACCAAAGACCTGTCACATCCGCGGACAAACTTAATAGATTGTTGTTAATTTGCAGGATATTGCAAAATACTTATTATAGCAAACTGGACCTTATGTATATAGATCACAGTGGAAGTACGGAAGAAACAAAAATACATCGGACTATATATAAGCTGTATAACATGTACATTGATCAGAAACCCAGCATCTTACGCGATGTCTGCTTTATTAACACCTATACTGAAATTTACCATCGGGGTGCTGTTCAAGAAATTACGCGATCAAGCCGCCAGACGTCTAATTGGAGACCCAACAGATGAAACATTTCGAGAACTTCTTTTACGAGAATTGAATGAAATTAAATCAAAACTCGATGCATTGATACGAAAAGATCTTCTATGTAGCGTTGAATTTCTTGAAGAGGGTATTTGCCAACTGCATATGTCTACCTCAAGCGATCTGTCAACCAAGGAAGAATGTTGTGTCTTTGATGCAGATTGTAAAGCAAGTCTGGCATTGGCGAGCATTGGACAAGCTACATCTACAGGAGTGTTTGTGATAACTTCGGAAAAACGATTTGAAAAAGCCCAAGAATGTTTTAAAATTGCTGGGCAAGAAGCGACCAGAGCGTTCAGTAACTCGGGTCTCGACATTGAAGACAGAATTCTTGCAACAAAACTTCGAATAACGGCCAGGATTTTGGAAGGAGCAAGAGACTTGGAGTCTGCTGGGAATGCAGCAATAATGTACCTCGAACACCTTCATGAACTACCAGCAATACAAGAGGCATTTTCAGTTTATTTAGACAGAAGTTTGAAATCAATCTTCAACCAAACCAAACGATTGCAAATAATACAAAATGTGTCCATGATTAACTTGGTTGTTTTTGATTTTACAAAACGGTTCACATGTCTACCTCGAGACTTGTTTAGTTGGCCAAGCATAGAACTTGAGGACAGAACCTATCAACCTGTCTTGCGAGATGAGGGAATTTCACTCAGGGAATTCGAAGTCCCCGAAGTTGGGCCGTTTCAATTTCAGTTTAATGAAGACATTGAAATACGTAATATTGGTTCCGTCGCTGTTGATAGCAAGGGGGATATCGCAGCAGAAATCAGAGAAGGCACTTTGGGTGTTATCAGAACAAATACAGGAAAAGCTGAAATAATCCACAGCTTCTGCAGGCAAGATGCCACACTCTTGGAATACAGAATAGATTCAGTGGCGGTCGACAAAGATGATAATGTGTACGTCATAACCTGTTCAAAAGATCAGGCGACATTCAACTACAATTTATGGGTGTTTGACTCATCGGGAGAACTCAAACACTCTTGTGGATTAGAATTTCTTAGTTCAAGGCATATTGTTGGCATCACTGTGCAGATTGTGGTGGGCAAGAAGACGATAATCATGAAGAAAGCGGAAGACGAACATGTGTATATTTGTGATAACAACGGGAAATTGAAATTCAGCTTCGCTTTAAGGGAGAGATTTGGTGATGTTTTCCTAAGCGATTCAGATGAAAATGAAATGATTGTAGGACATGAGCAAACTGTGAGTGTTTACACTTACACAGGAAATTTCATAAAAAAAATCAAACTACCGGAAGGACACAAAATATGTGGTTTTACATTTAATCAAAATATTAGAAAGATCATTGTTCTTACTAGGACTTCAAATTGCATGCATTTATTAAGCTTTGATAAAACAGACATCATGCAGACTTTATCTCTACGCTTAGATATTTGGAGCTGCAAACTTAATTCTCATCCAAGAGGACTTGTTGCTCTGATTGCAAAAAATGGAGGACTTTTTATTTAAATAAAATTTCCAGGGAAGGTAGGAAAATATCCGGGTGATCAGAAAACGCAAATGTGAACGTTTTTGCGATTTTTTTATATATATTAAAAATGATATAATAAAAATATTCACACTCATATCAAGCAACATAATATCACCCTACCTCAAGTCTGTTGTCAAGTTGCTTTCTCTTGCTCACCCATTCACATCTTTTAGACCTGAATTCTTCAATTTCATTCAACTCTCGCATTATAACAGCGAAATCACCGAGAGTATTTTGTCGGAATATCGAAGAAAGATCACGAACGACGGAATCATTTGTCTATACAATGGCATGGTGAAAATATTCAGTTGTATACATTCAAACAGTATAACATGCACTCCGTTAACAATATACATAATAATCCTCGCTGAGTATAATACCTGAAACTCTTTCATCATCAAATCATCTTCATCATCTTCACTTGGTAAAGTTAATTTTAAAGCTAAAGACTCGTTACTTTTCCTTAGCCTTGTTATCACAAGATGTTTCATATTCTCTCTGTCTGGGGCTTGCACAACCGACAAAGTACACACAGTTAAATCTAAAAAACACAAACTGTTAGCAACTGACACTTTGCATGAACCAAAACATAACCTTCTGATAATGACTAATATTCATAATATAACATAATATTTTGTATGTAGCTCATCTTTAGTGAGCACTGTGCCATCATCCTCAGGACAACTAGGATTTCTTCTTTCCAGAAATTTATACATGGATACGGTAATCATTATTCAGTTTTACCTTCTGGCAATAAATCGATGGTGTTTTTAAAGCATTCAAGAGCATCGCCAGCAGATTTTGTAAAAGCAACCGTCTTCTTAATGGTTTGTAATTGCAATAGTTGTTTGATACTTTTTCTCTCAGCGTTGCCCAACGTTACTGATTCCAACAACTTCACTAGTTCATCCTCGTGATTGCTCTGCATTGGAGGATAGAAATATTGAACATACAAGTTTTCTGTGCGAAGGAAAAATTAGGGAAAGTTTTCGTTATTATCCCCTATTATGCAAATAATTCAATATACTCAATCATGAGCCCAGAAGTAAGCCCATTAAATCTGAACCTCTCTGAACCAAAAACTCACCTCATTTCTGTCATTCATTTGCTTTTCTTTTTCTTTCCTTATTAAAATAGTGAAAAACTCGCGCTAAATTTCAACATTGTTACGTGTAACAAAATTTGAAGGCATGCATGTAAGTATGAAAAGGTATACATTCCGTGGTGTAGAATAATGGCTACAATATAATGATGGCTACCTGATCTTTTTCGTAGAACGATTCAATGTTTGGTGGTGTAAAGTAGTAGCCATTGCCATATTTTGAAAGACAGCTGCCTTCTCTGGGGATTTTGACCCATGACACAAAACGAGAGCATGACAAGTTCGAGTTAACAATATTGAATTGTAACAAGGATAAAGATACTGTAGAGATGAATTGAATGAGTCCAAAGCGCTTGTCATATCTTTATCTAAATATAAACAGCATGAAAAGGTTAGATCACTTTATTAAACAATTATGTATACATACCCCTTTTAGTATTCCAGTTCTGCCTGACGGATTTCTATACTGTAAGCTATTGCATTCACAGAAGAAATCCGTCGGAGAAGAAATCACTATACCTCCTCCCCCAATTATCGTTCTAGTTAGGCCACTGACCCACCCATCGACTTCCAAAAACTCACCTTTCTCGATCGTTCCATCGAATATCCCGCCGTTCTCATCCATTCCTTTTCGTTGATGAAGTTCTTCTTCAGTTTGATCACACTGTTCAATATCACGAGAGGATTTCGTAGATTTTCTTTTTATTTCTTCCCGTTCTTTTCTTTGAGGTTTAGAAACGTCGAATAAAATATCCCTCTCACAATCCTCCTTGGATTTTGTTGAACCTTTAGAGGAAACTTCTTTGGTGTTCTTCCTGGAAGAACGACTGTCTTTTTTGACACCTTTCAACCCTCTTTCAGTCGTTACATCATCGGTCTCTTTCCCTGACGCAAGCGGAGTTTGTGGTATGCTGCTCATTACCTTTCTCGAAGCAGGTGTTTTCTTCGATCGTGCGAGTGATGATGGTTCTTCGGTAGTTAATATCCGCCCATTGCGTGCTTTTTTCTTAGTCTTGCTGTCAACAGAGGTGGGGTGCGAGGAAATGTTTTCTACACGATCCTTCTGATCCGTAAGGATGTCATCACAGAATAAAACATCGAAACATTCTTTCTTACTATTAGTTAAACCCCGTCTGGACTTTCTTGATGGCTTCACAGGTGTAACGGAAAGATCTAGCGGCCACATTTCTTCAGATACATCAGCAACGTTTGTAACCAGGGGTGGAGCTCCACCCACAACCTTCCAAGAATCAAATCCATTACTGCTCGCTAAGACTTGTGCGACTCCATGGAGATAATGAAGCAATGAAGTTGACATCAAGTCTAACAAAAATGGATCACTCACAATGCCTTGAGCCCATTGAACCATGTCTAATCCTGCTTGCACATTTGAAAGTAGTCGAGAGTAATCACGTTCCATTAAAGCATTATCGGCGTCTAACGCATAGGTTTTTAAACAGCTTTCAACGAACACAAGAGAAGCAATATCGGCCTTATCAGCGTTAAGTTCTGAGGTAACTTTCCCACTTTGCTTTGTTGTAGCTTTAACACGTTTACCTTTAGCTTTTGTGTTTCTCTTCCCGTCAGGGCAAGGCAGCTCGGCAATTGACTCGTCACAATTAGTGCCATATGCCACAGCAAACATGCGCTCCTGGTTTACAAGTGCATGTCTATACAGTTTAACTGAGTTCTGACGTAGATCGTGCGACAAAGAGACGGCTTTTTTAACTTCAGAACCGTTGCCATTCAATTTTAAATATTGGCAGTAACAATGATACAGCTTGATGTAAAGTTGAGCGTATGATACGCTCTCGTAGCTACCAAATACAGAGTCCTCGTGCTTTTCCACCTCAAAAATGGTAGTTTTATTCACCATATCAAGCAAGGACACATTAGGTTTTACGACACCTAAAGCATCTTCCAAATAAGCCTGAGACATCTCAGCCATATCCCAAACTGTATACAACTCTGCCAACTCAAGAGTGAATAGAGAATATCTAAAAAGATAGCAGAGGCTCAAGTTTTTCTCTCACGAATCACAATCTATATCATGAGGCCGATATAATGCTGTGACGTAATTAACTCTATTGTGCAAGTAATATCAGTCACAGCCTCAATTAGTTCTTAAAATCTAAAGGAGGGACAAAACACGGCTATAGAAAAGAACGTGTAGTTACATAATTGGTTAGGCAAGAGAAAGGAAGGTATCTGAAATACGTTCACTTGACTTTCAACCCACCTTTTCGCAGACAAGTATCGTTTGGTAATCTTCCGACCGTCTTCAAGAAAACGCTTTGATTCTCTTAATGCTCCTTGAAGCAAGTACACTTTACCGATTTCGGCATAACAACAAGACAGTTCTCTTAACAGGGACCAGTGAGACAAGAAGACAACACGTTCTTTCTTTGGGTCGTTCAGACCAGCAACTAGGTAAACAAAAAAAAAATGGCTGATAACAGATTTAAAAAAATGCGGTGCGAAAATTAGGACTTTTCTATGAAACACGTCAAAATTAAAAAAAATGGAAATATTCTGAGACTGCAATAAGGACCACTGTATTGTTTTATTCATAATTAGACCTTAAAAAGCTACAGAATCATGAAATAAAATTCTAGTCATGTAGTGAATTTATATGTATATAGCAAATTAGTTAGTGAGCAAAATATAATACCATAATACTCACTTTCATTGCCTGCGCCATTCTCTATAAAATGTTTCACTAATGTGTCAACATATTTCGTCGATTCAGACAAATAATCAAAATAGTTGGAATCATCAGTACCTAAAAATCATAATCGACCAAAACATCGCATTTGAAACGCACGCTAGAGAAATTAAATAATGTTCACACCAAGACACAAACCTTTAACTTTGAAAAGAGGAACTGGGAGTGATAAATATCTAACGCACAGTAATTTTGCTTTCAAAAGCAAAAACTGCATTGTGATTCCAGAATTTTCCTTCGCCTCGTTGAGAACAGCTTGTACAAGTTGCCATCCCTCATCGTGCTGAAAAACACAAATTTTCATCAACCGACTGTAAACTATACCGTCCAAGCAGTACTTAGTAAAAGTCACTATATAATTGTCAGAATTGCAGTAAATTAACAAGAAAGAGATGTTTCACATCTTACCAATCCTTTGCACAGAAAAAGCTGACTCTTTGCAAGCGAAAATGAATATCTGGTGCTCGGGCGAAAATTTACCCCGAGCGTTGATAAGATTTCGTCGGCCTTGTTGCGCAACAGTTCAGCAGCAGGCGTATTTCCCTCGTCACATAACGCCTGAATGGCCAGAGAGTTAGCGACCACCACCGTTTCTAAGCTTTCGTCATCACCACAAAGAGTTGCAAACGTCGCCAAAACAAGCAACGTGTGAATCCGAATGAGCGTCTAGAAGAAACACATAAATCACACACTGTCAGCTTTTAGACTGGAAAATACGGAAAGATGGGCGTATTTCATTTAGACCAGGAACCGGAGCCTAAAGCGTGAGAAGTTTAGTTGTCCACCGCGCAGTCGATAACAAAGCAAATATATCTTTTCGAGTTTCACCATTCACAGCTGTCGCTCAAATCTATTTAAATAATAAGTGCATGTGCCTGCAGGATCCATGCAGATTTATTCATGGCCGGGGGACGGACCTTTATGTATAAAGTCTCTGAAAATCGTTTACCTTAAAATCACCTAACATACCATCCTAAAAAGACAACTGAAGTATCGCATTCTACTTTCCCGCAGGAGAAAGAGTAAGCCATAAAAATAAAGTAATATTACCTACCAAGTTAAGAAAACCGTATACGGAAGAGGCGATTTGGAGCATCCAGCATGTCTCACTTTGGGAACACACACCAAGCTGTTGAAAAGCAAATTAATCAGATAAATAACCAGCTACTGGAAGAAAATACGGCGGTAAAATCATGTCGCTCTTGCATTTCTACCAATTTTATAAATGACTATTCAATTATATATTCAATATTAGGCCATAACTGAAGATAAATACCTTTGAGTTCTTTTTGACACCTTCAGTTATCAACTCAGTCCATTCGTTCACCGCCAAATTTAAAGCATGCAAGAAGTCTGGAGTCATACTCAACGATTGTGCCTATAAATTGGAAAACCAGTTGGGAAATGAATTGTAGTAAATAATTGCGTATGAGTTACTACGTAACTATGGCACCTCAAAGATGTGACTGTGGAGGTTTTAAAAGACTGAGACAAAACTTCGTCCAGTTCTGCTATTCCAAATAACCGAAGGTCAAAAGTAAATTTCGGTACGAGCTAAGTTTAACATACATCATTTTACCATTGTCAGCTTACACAATGTCAACAGCAAGCGTGCGTGGTTAATTTGGTGGTCCATGCAGGTTAATTTATTTTAATTTCTCATATATATATATAAAACGTTATTATGTACATCAATAACTACTAAACAAAAAAAGCAAAATGATTTTTATACCTTCTCTAAATTAGCAGCGAGATCATTGGTAAGTCGCTCATTTTCCTTGCATGCATCGTTAGTGCATTCCTTCATATCCTCCTTTGTTTGCTGCACAGCGATTGAATATTTCAAAATAAAGCTCCAGAAATAGGCTGAAGCAAGGATATCTTTAACCTTGAACAATCCCGGTTGTTTATGCAGCAGCATTTCATTGATATCTTCGATTAGATCTTCGCAAAAGAGTAGGCCATCACTGCGAGTGATTAATACATTGCAAAGGAATATTTTAAATGAAATTCTCCGCGGAATATTGAAATTATTATATTTTAATTAATACGATTATAACGGGGATTAATACGATTAACAGGAATGGTTGAAAGGTCCTTCCTTAGAAGGAGGCCGAAGAGCACGGTATTATTGATCCCAAAAACTCCCGAGGAAAATCCCTATCCGGAGGACAGCGCTATCAATGCAGTCTTCGTTTAACTGCCGCCTACATAACAGTTATATGACAATACCTTATGCTGGAAATACCATCATCCAATTGCACCGCCATATGGTACATTACTTTCACCTTCTCCAACCTCATAAGAAAAGCATTCGTCTCATCCTCCAATCCCAGGTAGAGATTCAAGAGTTTTTCAACCACACAAAGTTGATCAAAAGGCGTGCAGTATCTAAAGCAGCAAATGAATAGCAAAGCAATAAATTAGTTTAGAATGAAATCCTCTGTTGCATGTGATTGAACTTTCAGAGTTTATCAATCCAGGTAAGCTTGGGAATTATGAAGTTAACAGACAGCGAAATGCATACCATACGCATGAACCTAGATATTCTGTAGCCACAAAGGGTAGGGCTGTTTCTTAGTCAATCAGGCTGATCGAGTTTTGCATGAAGTGAAGATGTCATAAGTTGGTTTATATATATGCTAAATGCCTCGTGTTTCATCTACTAGCTTAAATGTTTTTACCGACGAGAAGATATTACCTTTTCTTCCTGTAACATTCCAACTCCATTCTGAGGAACGCACAGACTTGTTCTTCTTTAAGACTCGGGCCATTATAATCTTTGCAGTTATCATCTAGATTGCTTAAAGTGTGCGGCAATAATTAGTATCTAGAAACGTCGACAGGTTTTCCTCCATTTAAGGCAGTTTTCTCTCTGTAGACTATTGTTTCTGCTAGCACAAGGGCGCGAATCTCCTTTCAATCCTAACATCGTTTTAACTCAACCCCTGAACTCACTCTAACTCTATACATAAAGTTTTCACTAAAACGTTTGATAATGCATACTCTTGCAACAGAATAGCAAATTATATGTCAAATAAAAAAATTACCATCGCTGAATTTTATGAACATCTTCCTTATCATTCAGTTCTTTGATAGCGTTATATTTCCTTTTTGACCATTTTAATACATAGTCTGACGCTTTTTCATCAATCTTATCATCAATAGACAACATATAGTATTGACAACAGAGGCCCATAGTACGTAATGATTCCAACCAATGACCTTGTTTTTTCAAACAATCTGACAAAAGCTCGTACTTATTATGCAGTTTCGCCTATATCAAGCAAACGCAAATACATAGACGTAAGTTTCAAAATCAAATAAATGGAGTTCACACTCGACATGCGCTGTGCGCAAATGAGCCAATGCAAGTATTCAAATGACGTACCGGTACGTGTTATACAACTTACCTTTGAGATTGCGTTTGATTCCTCGGAATGCGCAAGATACCACTTGGTACCTGCCTCGCACGCTAAACGCGCAAGAGACGACGCGTCATTGACTTGACTACAGTTGTGAAGTATTAGGCCGATGTTGAAAGCGAAGAAAGCATAGTGACCATATTGATCTATTGCTGCCGGTGTTTCTTCAATCACGTCATCTATTGTCTTCATTCCTTCGATCATAATGGCAACATAATCATGTTTCACTCCATTTTTCCTACAATAGAATTAATTAACATCGATTACGAGTCATTTATATGTTCCAAAGCTGGCTTCTCACATTTTTATCATTACAACCGATCAGTACATTATTAGCTAGCTAACAGGGTGGGGCAATGGCAAAATATCAGTCAGTCAAAACAAAATTTAGGGTTAAAGATGATATGCAAAAACATCTAGCAGGGCAGCAATACTGTAATTCAGGGGCCAGTTGTATGAAAGCCGGTTAGCGCTAACCACGGGATAGTGTTTTTTTCAATCGCTCTAAAATCGCCCGTTTTTAGCTGAAACTTTGATTAAACTTTAGCGTTCTTAAACTGACCATCCTATTTGATAATTGTTGGTTCCAAATCTGAAATTTTATTGCTTTTCGAGCATTTTTTGAAAGGTTGAAAAAGTCACTATCCGAAGGATCGCGCTACTTTACCTGCCATAATACGACGTTTTTCCGGAACCACTGTTCATTTTCTTTTCAAGGACTGTACTAATAAGGTACAACATTGCAAGTTTTGGTTGCACATTCATCTTCCAGGTATTTGTGTTTGATATACACTGATCAACTGTCTTCTTAGCTAAATGACTTTGAATACTGTAGCACACAAACAGAAGATCATACAGAGCAGACAAAATCTCTGCAGGGATCTTAACCAAATTATTCGAAGTTGTTCTGAAAATCTCACTGAGTGTGCATCTTAGATAGTCCATTGCAAGATGAATTCGACTCTCCATATACAGGTTTGAATCCAGGCTTCCCATTGCCTCAGTTGTGCTGGCTAAGCGTTTTTGAACTGCATTCCATTTCAGATCAAGCTCATACTTGTGGTTATCAAGCTCTTTCACATTTTTCAAGCGAAAGGACAAAGCACATAAAAGGATTTGAATAGTATGTTGAAAAACACTGAATCTGCTTTCACGACTTGCATTGTTCTTTGCATCCGTTTTGACAAGGCAATTGAAACTCTTTACAACTTCTTGGATATGAGATGGGGTAATAGATAATTCACAGCAGGTAATACATAAATCCTCTAGTTTGGAATAAAGTTGTACACTTTCTGAAAGCCCACTATCCAGTAATGGTACCACATTACTTAAGATACTGAGAAGAAGGATTTTTCCTTCTTGTCTCTGAGAAGAATCACATACTTCTAGTTGAAACTTCTTTCCTGAAAGCAAACCACGCTCAATGATAAAATCCACATCCTGTTTAGCAACAAATAACAAATCAATAGATTTTTCTCTTAAAGATAATGCCAGAAGATTCCTCTTCAGTTTGTCCATGGTCTTTGGGAGTTTAATAGCAGCATTCCATAAATGATTGGATAGTTGTTTGCACAATCCTTGTGACTCTTTAATAATATTATCATGTCCTGATTTCATCACCGTTTGTGTTATATTGACAAGAGAACAGGTAATAGGAACCAAATAATTGGTGCAATCCTCCTTTAAAGCATTAATGATTAAATGGAAAAACAGTTTAGTAATGGTGGAAATTGATATCTCAGGTGGCAAAACAATACCACTTGTAATCAATTTTGACAGTATATCAGCGCCTAAAAAATAAAGTGAGTTATTTAATTAGTGCTAAACATTCACATTATCCCACTAATTATACTTCTGAAGAACAACCCAATAATATTTAAAAACTTTTTGACTACAGGTCTGTTATTCGTTGACAAGTTTGTCACCCTTGTGAACTAAGATCATTAAGGAGGACGAAGATTTTAAGACATTAAATCCAGAAACAAGGGAATTCAAATCACTCCGGCAAGATAAAAAACAATTACAATTATAAAGGACTACAAACTAATCTAATTACTAACATGTGTTTAATACCAAATGAACTATAGTCAAACACACAGGTTTATATTCACGCACTGAGGTTGTATGTAAAACCACTTACCTAAAACAGCACATTTAAAGCAATCCTCTTGAATTGGATTTCCATTTTCTTGCTTCCTCCGCTTGGACAAGGCTTCAACACAGCATCTTAACAGTTTTATACAGAAAGCACCATACTTGGATATCTTTTCATATCCAAAAGCCTTTTTTGCCATACATTTGGGGCTCTCATCTCCCAGGAATTTCTCAAAAGGAGCTGTAAAATTCTGCAAAAAGAAGTCACCAATTAAGAAAACAAAATTGTTCGAAACTTTAAGGGCTAATTTTTCAATAGATGATAAGGCTGACGACAATATAAGTGGCTGATTTATCTAAAAGGATGTTGATGCTCACACAATCCAATCTTGCTGGATGAAACCCACTTTGTATGGATGTTTTATAATCTTTGACTTGTATGTATATAGGCAGTTATTCCATACGTCCGAAGTGAAATGCATCCGACATAATTCGATCTTGTGAACAGAAAACCTCTGGTCTTCAAATAGTGATATACAAACAGAGACATCCTTTTCTAAATTTAATAGCGAACAGCTTACATCATTTTATTTTTTATACAACGAACCTTCAAATCCTGCAATTGGCGGCACTCTCCTTTCAAAATTTTTTGTAGAATTCTTTCACCCTCCATTTCATCTCACTATGGCTTAAAAATCATTACATTTGGGGTAGGCATTTTCATCCAAACAGACATAATCGTACTGACTCAGAGACCGTCATATTTTGTATTTTTCATGTTCTTTCAAGATTGGCGCCAGTGTTTCCAGTATTTCTTCTCTGCAATTCCTCTATTCATATGTGTAAATTTCATTGTAAGCTTCGCAAAGCTAATTTTGTTTGAAATCACGTGACTGTATGCAAATGACGGGCCAATCAAACAACCTCGGGCGTTATTTTTCTTTCATGGCAACCGAATAAAGTTAAGCTGTGCTGCCATCCTTTTTTAGCACAGTCTCTACACTGGACTAAAAACATTACTGATATCCTTTTTATGTTGCATCTGCCTGTCGACTGAAACCTTTCAATCAGCCTGAGGCCATTGCAAACAACCGATATAATAACTGGGACTGACCATTGGAAAATTCTTTTAATAATAAAGAAACTATTGTACTATTAGGCCTTTGGCTATTAACAGCCTTATAATAAGGTAGCTAATTTTGTCCGAGGAAAATATGGGCTTAGCCCCTCCCCCAAACACCCACGAAAGGGGCAGATAATAACGCGACCTTTCGCCTGGTAACTTCGATTTGTTTGTAGGGCATTGACGCAAAATGCCCTAACTAAAATTAAAAAAACTCAAATTATAAATAACAATTTAATAAGTACTCTCCATAAATACAATTGTTTAATATTTTCTTTCAATACGAGGCTTGGAATAGGCATACCTCCCCAGCATCGTGTTCGTTTTTCATTTGCTTCAAGTTTTCATGCAAATACTCAATTCTTTCATTTATATCCTCATAAATTAAAATCTTCTTAAAGAAATCACGCAATTATATTAAACATAATTTGCATACGAAAATGAGGAGGTCCATACCCATTTAGACCATAAAAAAGGATAGGCAACCATAGCAGTATCTTCCCAGATCTTGGCACTCGTTTTTATTGGATAAATACTTATTATAAAGTAAATTCCGTGAGGTTGCAATAATTATTACAATGACAATATGAAGAAGAAAATAAGAGCAATTTTCAATGAGTTGCCTATCCTTTTTCTCTACAATTCATTATTCCTAAGACAGGTTTCGCCAGGAAAGACTTGATACAGCGAAGTCATCAAAATCTTAACCTCTTTAGGTGAAACAAGACCATTTAAACAGGGCCTTTTTCGCTGGTAAAATTTGTTTCGGTAAAATTAACTTGTGCGTAAAACCACCCTTATACAACTTCTGTACTTATTTAAGAGTTTTGGCTTCTGACTTTGATACAATACAAACAGCTTAACTCTTCTTCTACAACTAATATACCTACAAATTTTCATATCATCTGATAAAATTTAAAATAAACTTCATAATATAGATATTTGACAAAAACAATGTCTTTTGAAACGGCTTCCCAAGAGAAGCACAGTATAAATGCTCCTCCGTTAAGAGCTGTGAATTGATATAGGAAATTGTTACAAATCAAAACCCTAATTGTTAATTGATTAATAAGATTAGCAAGCTAATTATTTAATTACAAAAGGAATACCAAATGGTTTTCCATGTAGGATTAAGTAATCCACGCGCGTAGGATGTTGCGAGACTTTCGGAAAGCTTTATAAATTCGAGCAACATCCCAAGTGCATATATCACGCAATCCTGAACGAGATTCCTTTTATTTGGCTTCCACCAGTCACTGTCATATAGTTAAAAATGTTCACACGATTAAAATTAACCATGCATGATGCTGTAAAATGTTCTATTTTTTGTTTGTTAGTTTCGTTGATATTTGTACATTAAAACATGCGAAATTGCTGGTGCTACAGAGCAAACCAGTTGACGTGACCACCCTTGAAATATGGACAGTGTAACACTAACAAATAGAAATAAGATTCGTTTCAAGATCAGAATTAGAATGATGGCAGATCTATTGGTAGATCCATGGAATGATTCATGAATCAATCGTGATGCTGACTTATACCAATATGACAGTAACTGCATTGGGCTGTCTTATAGTAGGCAGTCACCTTAAGATTCAGATTTTCTTGGCGGAGTTGAGCAAATAATGACATCGCCATCATCGCTAGGACTTTGTACAAGTCTTTTTCTTGCTGCTTTCTTAGCTTCCGCCAGGCGTTTCCTTGCTTCTTGTCGTTTTTTAGCGTCTTCCCCTCTTGATGCACTTGCTTTGGTTTTTGAATTCTTTCTTTTCGGAGACGTTTTGCCGTCCTTTAGAGTTGGATTTTTCGGAGTCTGTCATAAATGATTATATTATCGTGTCGGTTCAGTTTTTTTGGGGTGATTTACAGTATATTTACTTCCATAGAAAACACAAAAACGTGCGAGGTGCGAAACTCATCGAAAATTTTTTGAAAAGTTGGCACCACAGTCACAGAACCTTTATGTATTTTGTATTATTTTAGGTTTCAAGTCAGAGAAGCGTCAATATCAATGGACGTTGGTTGGAGGTTGGGAGACGGCATGGCTGTGACGCTTCATAATGAAAATCGTGGAAAATCTCTTGAAAAGTTTTCAGTTTTAAATATTTTTCAACATTTTTGTTGGTGCATTTATATTTAGTAAGTTCGCCAGCAATTTAGAGATAGAGGTTTTAAGTTATGATGTGGGAACACACAACAATTGCAGTGTATTATACATTTGGTTTATTTGGTGGAGTGTATTTTAGCAGCTCTTTTAATATTTTATAACAAGGGTGTTAGTGCCTAATGGGGGATGTGAAATAAATCAATCTATGACATTCTTCATGGACAACAACAATAAGTAATGCTTTTCTTAAACACCTGAATTTTTGTACACTGCATGAGCCAACACAGCTTACCTTGGTGTGGTCAACTACAGGTTCTACATCAATCCAATTGTTTCTCCTCAATTTTTCAATCTTTGTAAAATGGGAATCAACATCCACAACCTAAAATAAATGTTGTTACAAACAAACACCAAAAGGAGCAAGAGCACAGCCATTGTTGGTCACTTTTTGGGCCATAATTGATCTAATTATCTACTCCTACATTATATTTATGGAATCATAAGGCTAGAAGTTGAAAACTAACCTGAAGCATAACAAGATCCCAAAATCCTTCTAAATCTGTTTTAGTTGGTATTTTTCCATCAGCAGAAGCTATTACACCCTTTAAAAACAACAGATGTAGAGCTGATGGGTTTATCATTTTAAATTTCATCCAAATTGTACAAAAACACATGTGGGAGACTATAATTTGATAGAAATTACTGCAGGCATTTTTGTTCGTACCATGAGCTAACACAATTACAATCTAGGTCACAGTTTACTTACTGAATTCAGATCACATAAATCTTTGAACTGTTTGAATTTGCTTGACAAAAGAAGTCTGGCTTTCCCAGATGCAGCTCGTATTTTACCTTTGACTGAGAAAAAATAAATAATTATGGATTCAGTATGTACTCTGTTGTAACATCCAGGCTGTCACACTAGGTTGTCACCAATTTAGGTTTTTTAGGATCCTTTCCTGATATGGAGATGCTATAATAACACTCAGTACTAAAACTACTCATGGTGCAATAGTAAAAACTGAGAGATTAAATCAGACGAAATTCTTCCTGTAATGTAACCTAGGCTTAATTATGGACCTTTTATTTTTTTAAATTTAAAAAATGATTTAGTTGGCACACTGTAAATATAAAGTTAATATTATGTACATCAGCCTTGCCATTTAAGGTTTCTCCTTGACTTGTCAAGGCACATTCTGTCAATCAGTTTGCTTGTTTTGGTATTATGATTCACCTGTGTCATCATCATGAATATGATTTTCATGAAAGGTTAATGCTACCATAGGCGGCCCAAAATTGCATGAGAAATTTTTTCAGTAATTTGTCAATATCTTATTACAGTATATTGACAAATCACCGAAAAATTTCTCGTTCAATTTCGGACTGCCTATGTTTTTGCTAGCAATACTGCCAGATTGCAAACTGCTAAACCAGTCTTGGTGCATGCAAAATATAAAATTGTCAGCAGCAACAATAAAGAATGAAGTGGTGGCTTAGACATTATTAAACAAGAAGTTCAACATATTCTTTGCATAATCAGACAACAATATTTGATGTTGTTCATGGAAATAGGTGAGTGTTAATTGAAGTCTACAAGAGGTGAAGTTGCCAAGAGATGGTCACATTCAAAAAATATTTATCACTTTTGAATTGTTGTCATGCGATTATTGCATTCACAGAGAATATGGATGAATTGAAGGACTTTGTAAATTTTCCCAATTGTTGTCTAGAATTCTGAATTTGCTGTACACTTTTCACAAAAAAAGTAAAGTAACAATATATTATACTTGAAAGGTAGAATAAGCAGAATAGCCATGTGAGATACTCCATTTCTCAGAACCACCATACCCTAAAATTAAACTAATGAAGTAGACTTTAGAGCATACCTTCCTCAGGAGGGCTATTCTCCCACATTTGTAATTGGACAGCAAAACATAATTTTGATATTCTTTGTTCCTCTTCATCAAGTTTTCTGGCAAAATAAACGCCACTACTTTCTTCCCCTATATAATTATCTAAGTCTCCATTACAAAGAGATGTAGCACTGTTCTTTGGTGGTGTCTTCAAAATTCTTGATCTCACAGAGAACATTTCATCTCTGTTGCATGTTGGCGAATTCTCATTGCCATTCGGAATAGATGATGTTTCATCTTGTGTCTTGGCCATTGGATAGAATGGATTTTTGCTCAGTACTTCTTGACCATGAACACAGACACAGCCATTCATGACAACTCAACAATTACTTTCTAAATAGCTACAAATTGCGACCACTGAACACCAATGGACACTTGGCCAAGACTTCGCTGAACTTGAATAAATTGAATACCGTATATTAGCTCGACTTCCTTTGCGTTTTGTAAATAGCCTCCAACTGCTGATTGCTTTTGATCTCGATAAATGTTGTTTGACACGTATATTTGTTTCCTTCGTGCGAGAAAATTATCGTAGTGAAAAAGCTGGATATAAAAAAATAAAAATCAATACTCGCGTTGTTGAGAGGCACGAGACACGAGTCATTTTGTCAGTTGTATTTTTTATAATCACATATTAATGTCACGAATACATAGCTTAAATCGATAAAATTTTCAAAATATTCAAATAAACGCATACTATAACATATAAGAGATGACAATTTAAACTATCCTTGCGTATTTTTGTTAAAACAGCATACTCACCGGTTTTTTTCCGATTCGGTCTCGTCACGATGAGGTTCGTTCAAAAATTGTATACTTTGAAATCAATTAAATACTGTGTTATTGTAATCGGAAAGGCTGTGTTTCGTGGTTAAAAATATAACCAGAAGTCTTACAGTAATCGGTGAGATTGGGAGCAAAAATAAAATGAACAACGATGACCACAGAAAATATATACCAATGCTATTTACAATTTGCTCCAGTGGTTGTCGAATATAGTCGATGTCGGAAGAGTCCGGACAAATATGATGTCATCGTCATGTCAAGACCCCTCCCGCTTGTTGACTAAACAAAGAATTGTCGTAACTTTCTGGGAGGGAAAATGTGTCTTTGTTTTAGGGCTCTTTAGGTTACAAGCACTCTTTTCTTGGGGGAAAGGTTTTATGGCAGTGTGAGCCTGAATAAAAATATTAGCCTGAAACAATAGCCACAAAATAAACAGTGTATTTCTCCAAAAAAAATATTTCGGATATGACGAAAATCGTAACCCCCCCCCGGGGACACAGCTAACGGTTATGAAATTGGTTGGCTGGTGCAATATCCGAAACACCATTTTATTTCAATCAAACGCATACCAAATTTTGAATGAAACAATTATCTCGACCGTTCTTTCTCGATTCGTTTGATGAATATTACAAAGTCTGTTTTATTATTTTTAATCCTTCCTGTCTTATGGTGTCATAACATGTGAAAAGGGTAGACATCTGATGAACCAATCAAATCAAGAAATTCCCGAAGAGAGGGTCAATCTCATGATCTTAACTTTACTCACTTTACCTTCCCATGCACCATGCACCTGTACGTCTAAACAAGCCCAGTGTTCAGTTTCTTGGTTTAGGGTGAGTCATCTGTGGTAAAAACTGTGCCAAAGCACAAATTTCTAAATAAAGCTCGTTACGAAGACACACTCGGTCTAGCACTTGGCTTTCTAGAAGAAAGAAAAGGCTCGTGCTCTTATTCAGACTTTTTCAATCGAATTTTTTTCAGTCACTTTCATGTGATCAAATAATTGTTATGGCAATTTTTTTGGCAAGTCACGAGTCTCCAAACGGCCGGGTTAGCTTGTTATGTGTAAAAATGATAGATATAATATGGAAAAAAACCTTCAGGTTAGTTGTTATAAAGGTTCCCTCTGGGTCGAACCCGGGTTAGAATTGATGTTAGTAATGCAAACAAAGTGAAGGTTTGGTCTGACTTGAGTTAACCCGGATTCGTTTGCCTAGTGTTAACGGGCCTTCAGTGTTTCACCGGCAAAAAACTGCTTTCGATCCCCTTCCATAATCTTCTCTTTAGATTACTATTTTGTGACCAGTGCGAAACGCACGTCATGTAGTCTACTATGCCATTACGACAAGAACTAAGGGCCTGATCTTTCGGGACCCCACAGTGTCCGCCCCACATGTGCCCGCCTAACTTTGGTTGGCAAGGAAACATAATATTAAAATCAGTTTCTGTAGTTGAAGCCGGAAGCCAAGACCGCAGTTGTCTGCTTGTAGAAAAGCTGAGGCATACCGCTTACGAGTCACTTTCACTCAACTCAAACTTATCGCTTAGTGCGTAAGTACAACCCATATAAATTGTAAAATCAGATGAATTATAACCTTCAGGACTTCAGGCTAATTCACGCAACATTTATATATATACAAAGTAGTACAAAATAACATTCTCAGTCACTCAAGTCAATATTGTTATATCTTATAGAATTAAATTGGCTCATAGCATACCCACAATTTGAGTTTTAAATCTATCTGATTTTGGTAGGTCCAGATGGGTAAAAACCGTGACTTGATGTATCTATTCACTTGACTCATATTTTTAAATACTTTTTTATGGTTTCACTTTTGATTACATGGAATTACGTGGAAATGGAGTATTCAATTCCATGTAATAAGCACTCAATCGTGGAAAATCTTGACAATGAAAATCAAAACATAAAATGCCAACTAAGCTGTCGAAAACTTGTACGGTTTACTTTCAAATGTATTTTATAAACTTTAAAGATTGTCGCTTACGTTAACGTCTATTTTAAGGTCTGTAATAAATTTTGTTTGGGTGCAAATGTTGATTGTTTAGACATTCGGCTCATGACTTCAGACTAAAATTGAATACCCTAATTTCCAAGTTAACACAATCAAGCCAAAGTATAGCCTAGCCTGTGTGCAAACTTTTTGACCAAAAAATATCTGCGTTTACAGAAAATGTACAGCGGTTATGGCAGAAGGGGTAGTTTTCCTCGGAGAGGCGGCTTCGGTGGACACCGTCAAGGATACCACAGATCGTATAACGAAGCTGGATGTATGTTTTGCACTGGGGTTTCTGAAAGTCAACAGTCACACCAGCGTCATCAATGCCACGAATTTCGGCAACTGAAACAGAATACCTCGTACAAACCATACGTAAAAGCAAAATTAAACGACGAAGATGAGCGTGGTTTCGCTGCTGCTGGTTTTTTGTTGTGGAAGAAAGGAAATGAGAACAATTTGCAAGTCTTAATGGCTCGCGAATATCGACATGGCAACGATTGCCTCAACTTTCTTGGTGGAAAACGGTTGCGAAAAGCAGAAAGTGCAATAGAAGTAGCGTTGAAGAAAGTCGACATGGAATGTGGACGACAACTCTCTCATGAAGCGTTGGAAGGAATGAAAGGTGCACCACTGGTACATTGGAGCGGCAGATCTTCAAAGTACGCGCTTTTCCTTTATGAAGTCACGTTATGGCGAGATTGTGAAGTTCATGTTTTGGCTGCTGGCTTGCGAGATGATGGGGTTAAAAGATTAGAGTGGGTTTCTTGTAAAGATTTGAAATCTACTCCATTTATACACCGTCAACTACACGATTTTGCAACAGATATGGTTCATGCATTATCTGATCCCACCTGTGACGTTCTTAGCAATATAGAAGATTTGTTTGAGACAGCCAGTAAAGCAAGCAAAGTGCATGAGAATACTCAAGAAGAAGTTCAATTCGACTTTGACGTTATTGCAGGTCTAACGTCATCCGCAACCTTAGCAAGAGGGTTTTCACCCACAGGTATTCTAACCTGGGGTGTTATTGCTGATGCTGTCACGTCACTTCCGAAAAATGATTTACAAAAATTGCGCCTAAAGTTTCACCCGGACCGTTTAGGCAGACAGTTAGGGCGAGATCCAACTGATCTTGAAAAAGAAGCTTCTACTAAGGCAACGCAAATCCTGAACCGAGTTTTAGATATGGTCAAGAATCCTAGTGATGCACCAGCACGATCATCTTCCAATGGTGGGGTTTTTCAAATCATTGATGAACTAAATACACTGATTAAAAAGTACACTGGTGTCACTGGTGACGAAGATAAAATTGCTGCAGCTATCACAGCTAAACTTTCTGAAATACGCCTAAAATAGAGTGACTCAAGTGTTTAATTGTACATTTGTTCTAATGTTTGTTCATCTTTTATTTCATTCTAAAAATATAACTGCACCGTGTAGCATTCCCTATAATCAATATGAAAGTTATTCAATAACTTCAACCATATACATTTCAAACTTTTTAAAGAGGGATTACTTTAATTACTAACTCTGTACGTAAAGGAAACTGATTGAAATTTTAGTCATGTCCGCTCCTCGGTGATTAGTTTACCGGTACCTGTCCAGTAAACACGACATTTTTATCATCATACTATCCATATTGTATGTACCCTACTCCTGCTTCGGAGCTAGCAATATAATTACTACGAGTACGAACCAAGCGTACACCTTACAAGCGTACACCGTACAAGCGTACACCGTTAACAAACGTTTTTTATGGAATTGTCGAATGTTAATAGTTTGGACTTTCGAGTTCACATTTGTGAAGACCATTTCTTAATTTTTTTATTTGATTTTTTTTATTTAATATACCTTAAATAAGACACTATGGTATAAAAATGTGTGGGGGACAATAACATATTCGTCCCCTCCTACTCCAAAAGTGGGGGACCTGTCCCCCCAGGATTTACGCCCTTACTATTTTGTCACGAGTGCGTAACCCACGGCATGTAGTCAGTCTACTATGCCATTACGACAAGAACTAAGGGCCCCGCGATCTTTTGGGACCCCACAGTGTCCGCCCACATGTTTCCGCCTAACTTTAGTTGGCAAGGAAACATATTAAAATCAGTTTCTGTAGTTGAAGCCGAAAGCCAAGACCGCAGTTATCTCCTTGTAGAAAAGCTGAGGCACACCACTTACGAGCAACTTTCACTCAACTCTAACTTGTTGCTTATGCGTAAGTACAACACATAGAAATTGTAAAATCAGATGAATTATAACCTTTAAGCTAAATTACGCAACATTTTTTATATATACAAAGTAGTAAACATTCTCAGTCACTCAAGTGAACTGATTTTGTTATATCTTATAGAATAAAATTGGCTCGTAGCAAGCACACAATTTTCTTACTATAGTTTTAAATCTTAGCATCAAATGTGGTATAACAACTGCCTAAATAGACAAAACACTTCTCGACGTTTCGACCTGAGTGCCTTCGTCAATATTAATGTTAAGTTGTTTGAAGACGCTGCAACGCTGCTCCTTGGTTATATTAGTTTTAAATCTATCTGATTTTGGTAGGTCCAGATGGGTAAAACCCGTGACCTGATGTATCTATTCACTTGACTCATATTTTCACTGAAATACTTTTTTATGGTTTCACTTTTGATCACATGCATGCCGGAAATGGAGTATGTATAATTCCATGTAATAATCACTTTATCGTGTTCGTCATTTAAAATTTAGCTGTCTTGATGTAGGAAAATCTTTACAATGAAAATTAAAGCATAAAATGTGAACTAAGCTGTCGAAAACTTGTACGGTTTACTTTCAAATGTATTTTATAAACTTTAAAGTTTGCCGCTTACGTTAGCGTCTATTTTAAGGTCTGTATAACAAATTTGTTTTGGGTTTATATGTGTTCAATGTTTAGACATTCGGCTCATGACTTCAGACTACAATTGTATACCCTAAATTCTTAGACCAGTGCGTAGCCCACGGCATGTAGTCAGTTTACTATGCCATTATGACAAGAACTAAGGGCCCCGCGATCTTTTGAGACCCCACAGTGTCCGCCCACATGTTTGGTTGGCAAGGAAACATATTAAAATCAGTTTCTGTAGTTGAAGCTGAAAGCGAAGACCGCATTTATCTCCTTGTAGAAAAGCTGAGGCACACCACTTTCGAGCAACTTTCACTCAACTCTAACTCTATACTTCTCGCTTATGCGTAAGTACAACACATATAAATTATAAAATCAGATGAATTATAACCTTTAAGCTAAATTACGCAACATTTTTTATATATACAAAGTAGTAAACATTCTCAGTCACTCAAGTGAACTGATTTTGTTATATCTTATAGAATAAAATTGGCTCGTAGCAAGCACACAATTTTCTTACTATAGTTTTAAATCTTAGCATCAAATGTGGTATATAACAACTGCCTAAATAGACAAAACACTTCTCGACGTTTCGACCTGAAGGCCTTCGTCAATATTTAATGTTAAGTTGTTTGAAGACGCTGCAACGCTGCTCCTTGGTTATATTAGTTTTAAATCTATCTGATTTTGGTAGGTCCAGATGGGTAAAACCCGTGACCTGATGTATCTATTCACTTGACTCATATTTTCACTGAAATACTTTTTTATGGTTTCACTTTTGATCACATGCATGCCGGAAATGGAGTATGTATAATTCCATGTAATAATCACTTTATCGTGTTCGTCATTTAAAATTTAGCTGTCTTGATGTAGGAAAATCTTTACAATGAAAATTAAAGCATAAAATGTGAACTAAGCTGTCGAAAACTTGTACGGTTTACTTTCAAATGTATTTTATAAACTTTAAAGTTTGCCGCTTACGTTAGCGTCTATTTTAAGGTCTGTATAACAAATTTGTTTTGGGTTTATATGTGTTCAATGTTTAGACATTCGGCTCATGACTTCAGACTACAATTGTATACCCTTTTTGGGGTTACAAATAACACCGTTTCTGGAGTTAAATTTTAATCCCCATTTTGGGGTTACATTTAACTCCCATTTTGGGGTTAAAATAACCCGTTTTCAGGATCACGCTATAATACCCGGAAAGAAATAAAGAATCATACAAAAATTTGAGCAAAATTTTATTACTTTATATCCAATCTACAATATTTACAACATAAATACAACTTCATATTAAAGTTTCCTGATAAATCATCAGAAATCTAAACATTTTTCTTTTAAAGAACAAACAAATGCATTGTAAAAACTTTACAAATTATATCCTAAGGTAGGCAACTTCAATCACAATATCGAGATGTACACATGAAAACAATCCGAAAATACGTCAATTAATACCTAAAACTAATCTAAAATAACAAGTGAAATGAAATCTACAATATTTTTACTATATACTTCCTATGTTTTAACTTTGAAAACAAGTTATAGAAGCGAGAAAAATGCGAAAAGTTTTTGATATTTTACTTATTTTTGGAATAGGCCAATGCTGGACCCGCGCTGTAGACTTTTAAGAACGTTTGAAAATGACGAATTCGTAACCTCATTGGCTGTTTTTTATTCTTGCTGTTGTGACAGCCAATGAGATTACGAATTCGTCATTTTCAAACGTCAACATGCATGCAGCGCGGGTCCAGCAACGGCCCATTTAAAAAATGAGTAAAATATCAAAAACTTCGCATTTTTCTCGCTTCTATAACTTGTTTTCAAAGTTAAAACATAGGCAGTATATAGTAAAAAATTTGTAGATTTCATTTCACTTGTTATTTTAGATTAGTTTTAGGTATTAATTGACGTATTTTCGGATTGTTTTCATGTGTACATCTCGATATTGTGATCGAAGTTGCCTACGTTAGGATATATTACACTATATATAATACCTTTTCATCCTATTATTAAATATATTTAACTCATATATAAGTCCTTATTTTCCTTTAGACTATGAGAATATGAAAAATGTTTTTCATGTCTACTGTTCCATATCAAGATATTTTTAGCGACCTACATTAATAGTTTCTTTGTATTGAATTATTGTCGACACTTGCTGAAGGTTTTCTGTTGAAATATTGAAAATATATTACACACCAGCGCAATTGTGTTTGTATCCTGGATGGCTGAGCAACTGTACACTTTCTTCCAACAGAGAATTACAGACAATTTAGCTCACGAACTGCAGTTTAATTTATATCCAATTTCGGCAGGTAAACAGTCGCACTCCGAGAGGCATGAAAATGATATTCAAGTACGTACATTGCCGTTTTTAACTGCATACAGCAAATCCGCCAACCTTTCTTTGACTTTTCCTCGTTCAATTCGGTTTTAGTCGTAATTTATCTTTAAAAATACAGGCAATTCTCCCGTGGAACCAGCAGTGCTTGCGAAGGTTTTGAAAAATAGCTCGTTTTGCATGATTGCATCAGCTTGATCACGTGGTATAATGTACTTATTTTAACCCCCAAAATGGTGTTACATTGCGCGTAACCCCCTTACGTGGTGTTATTTTAAGTCCAACTATGGAGTTATTAAGCTGGAATTTTGTAACTCCCCTATTACACCCCTAGAATCCCTTAAAAGTGGTGTTAAAATAACACCCTGAAAATAACAGTGTACAAAGTAGTAAACATTCTCAGTCACTCAAGTGAACTGATTTTGTTATATCTTATAGAATAAAATTGGCTCGTAGCAAACACACAATTTTCTTACTATAGTTTAAAATCTTAGCATCAAATGTGCTATTATAGCAACTGCCCAAATAGACAAAACACTTCTCGACGTTTCGACCTTAGGGCCTTCGTCAATATTTTATGTTAGCTAAGTTGTTTGAAGACGCTGCCACGCTGCTCCTTGGTTATATTAGTTTTAAATCTATCTGATTTTGGTAGGTTCAAATGGGTAAAAACCGTGACCTGATGTATCTATTCACTTGACTCATATTTTCAAATACTTTTTTATGGTTTCACTTTTGATTACATACAGGAAATGGAGTATGTAATTCCATGACGCGTGACCATGTGATAATTACTTTATCGTGTTCGTCATTTAAAATTTAGCTGTCTTGATGTAGGAAAATCTGGACAATGAAAATTAAAGCATAAAATGTGAACTAAGCTGTCGAAAACTTGTACGGTTTACTTTCAAATGTATTTTATAAACTTTAAAGTTTGCCGTATACGTTAGCGTCTATTTTAAGGTCTGTATAACAAATTTGTTTTGGGTTTATATGTGTTCAATGTTTAGACATTCGGCTCATGACTTCAGACTACAATTGTATACCCTAAATTCTTAGACCAGTGCGTAGCCCACGGCATGTAGTCAGTTTACTATGCCATTATGACAAGAACTAAGGGCCCCGCGATCTTTTGAGACCCCACAGTGTCCGCCCCACATGTTTCCGCATAACTTTAGTTGGCAAGGAAACATATTAAAATCAGTTTCTGTAGTTGAAGCCGAAAGCCAAGACCGCAGTTATCTCCTTGTAGAAAAGCTGAGGCACACCACTTACGAGCAACTTTCACTCAACTCTAACTTGTTGCTTATGCGTAAGTACAACACATAGAAATTGTAAAATCAGATGAATTATAACCTTTAGGCTAAATTACGCAACATTTTTTATATATATACAAAGTAGTAAACATTCTCAGTCACTCAAGTGAACTCATTTTGTTATATCTTATAGAATAAAATTGGCTCGTAGCAAGCACACAATTTTCTTACTATAGTTTTAAATCTTAGCATCAAATGTGGTATAACAACTGCCTAAATAGACAAAACACTTCTCGACGTTTCGACCTGAGTGCCTTCGTCAATATTTAATGTTAAGTTGTTTGAAGACGCTGCAACGCTGCTCCTTGGTTATATTAGTTTTAAATCTATCTGATTTTGGTAGGTCCAGATGGGTAAAACCCGTGACCTGATGTATCTATTCACTTGACTCATATTTTCACTGAAATACTTTTTTATGGTTTCACTTTTGATCACATGCATGCCGGAAATGGAGTATGTATAACTCCATGTAATAATCACTTTATCGTGTTCGTCATTTAAAATTTAGCTGTCTTGATGTAGGAATATCTTTACAATGAAAATTAAAGCATAAAATGTGAACTAAGCTGTCGAAAACTTGTACGGTTTACTTTCAAATGTATTTTATAAACTTTAAAGTTTGCCGCTTACGTTAGCGTCTATTTTAAGGTCTGTATAACAAATTTGTTTTGGGTTTATATGTGTTCAATGTTTAGACATTCGGCTCATGACTTCAGACTACAATTGTATACCCTAAATTCTTAGACCAGTGCGTAGCCCACGGCATGTAGTCAGTTTACTATGCCATTATGACAAGAACTAAGGGCCCCGCGATCTTTTGAGACCCCACAGTGTCCGCCCCACATGTTTCCGCATAACTTTAGTTGGCAAGGAAACATATTAAAATCAGTTTCTGTAGTTGAAGCCGAAAGCCAAGACCGCAGTTATCTCCTTGTAGAAAAGCTGAGGCACACCACTTACGAGCAACTTTCACTCAACTCTAACTTGTTGCTTATGCGTAAGTACAACACATAGAAATTGTAAAATCAGATGAATTATAACCTTTAGGCTAAATTACGCAACATTTTTTGTATATACAAAGTAGTAAACATTCTCAGTCACTCAAGTGAACTGATTTTGTTATATCTTATAGAATAAAATTGGCTCGTAGCAAACACACAATTTTCTTACTATAGTTTAAATCTTAGCATCAAATGTGCTATATAGCAACTGCCTAAATAGACAAAACACTTCTCGACGTTTCGACCTGAGGCCTTCGTCAATATTTATGTTAAGTTTTTGAAGACGCTGCCACGCTGCTCCTTGGTTATATTAGTTTTAAATCTATCTGATTTTGGTAGGCTCAGATGGGTAAAAACCGTGACCTGATGTATCTATTCACTTGACTCATATTTTCAAATACTTTTTTATGGTTTCACTTTTGATCACATGCATGCCGGATATGGAGTATGTATAATTCCATGTAATAATCACTTTATCGTGTTCGTCATTTAAACTGATTTAGCTGTCTTGGTGTAGGAAAATCTGGACAATGAAAATTAAAGCATAAAATGTGAACTAAGCTGTCGAAAACTTGTACGGTTTACTTTCAAATGTATTTTATAAACTTTAAAGTTTGCCGCTTACGTTAGCGTCTATTTTAAGGTCTGTAACAAATTTTGTTTGGGTTTATATGTGTTCAATGTTTAGACATTCGGCTCATGACTTCAGACTACAATTGTATACCCTAAATTCTTAGACCAGTGCGTAGCCCACGGCATGTAGTCAGTTTACTATGCCATTATGACAAGAACTAAGGGCCCCGCGATCTTTTGAGACCCCACAGTGTCCGCCCCACATGTTTTTTTGGTTGGCAAGGAAACATATTAAAATCAGTTTCTGTAGTTGAAGCTGAAAGCGAAGACCGCATTTATCTCCTTGTAGAAAAGCTGAGGCACACCACTTTCGAGCAACTTTCACTCAACTCTAACTTATACTTCTCGCTTATGCGTAAGTACAACACATATAAATTATAAAATCAGATGAATTATAACCTTTAAGCTAAATTACGCAACATTTTATATATATACAAAGTAGTAAACATTCTCAGTCACTCAAGTGAACTCATTTTGTTATATCTTATAGAATAAAATTGGCTCGTAGCAAGCACACAATTTTCTTACTATAGTTTTAAATCTTAGCATCAAATGTGGTATAACAACTGCCTAAATAGACAAAACACTTCTCGACGTTTCGACCTGAGTGCCTTCGTCAATATTTAATGTTAAGTTGTTTGAAGACGCTGCAACGCTGCTCCTTGGTTATATTAGTTTTAAATCTATCTGATTTTGGTAGGTCCAGATGGGTAAAACCCGTGACCTGATGTATCTATTCACTTGACTCATATTTTCACTGAAATACTTTTTTATGGTTTCAC